TCCCCCCAACTTCCTACTCCTCTCCACCATTCCCATTCCTTTTCCAACATTCTTTCACCACCACCACTTCCTCCTTCCCCTCCCTCACCAATCACAATAACAATGCGACGCCAAGAAACAGGAGTACACGAGACAGCGGAATAAAGGGAGACATAATAAGCAGAGCGGGGAAGAACAAAGAGGGAAGGTAACACGCAACAGTCAACAATAAAGATGTAAATTACACATCAAAGAATAATAAGCATGCCAGAGAGTGATAACGCTAGCAGCAACAGGAACAACAGAAAGTGGAACTGTAGCAGGTGGAGGAGCAACGGGAGGTGGAACAGTAGCAGTGGAGGAACAACGGGAGGTGGAACAGTAGCAGTGGAGTAGCAACGGGAGGTGGAACAGTAGCAGTGGAGTAACAACGGGAGGTGAAACAGTAGCAGTGGAGGAGCAACGGGAGGTGGAACAGTAGCATTGGAGGGTCAATGGGAAGTGGAACAGAAGCAGTGGAGGAGAAACGGAAGGTAGAACAGAAGCAGGTGGAGGAGAAACGGGAGGTGGAACAGGAGCAGGTGGAGGAGAAACGGGAGGTGGAACAGGAGCAGGTGGAGGAGAAACTGGAGGTGGAACAGGAGCAAGTGGAACAGCAGCAGCAGATGACACAGAAGCAGCAGGAGGTGTAACAGCAGCAGGAGGTGTAACAGAAGCAGGAGGTGTAACAGAAGCAGGAGGTGTAACAGCAGCAGGAGGTGTAACAGCAGCAAGAGGTGTAACAGCAGCAGGAGGTGTAACAGAAGCAGGTGTAACAGAAGCAGGAGGTGTAACAGAAGCAGGACGTGTAACAGAAGCAGGAGGTGTAACAGAAGCAGGTGTAACAGCAGCAGGAGGTGTAACAGCAGCAGGAGGTGTAACAGCAGCAGGAGGTGTAACAGCAGCAGGAGGTGTAACAGCAGCAGGAGGTTAGCAGTAGAAGAAAATAGGTGGTTGCACGAAGAGATAATTGTAAGGAGGAACGTGAACATAAACACCGGAGAGACAGGATAATCGCCACGCAGGTTAATTATGGGGGATTAAATGAACAGAAGTGCACATATACGCACTTGAGAATACATGCACACAAGCCCACATGTACACACACACACACACACACACACAGCAACCAGAGGTCATAACTTGAAGTTGAAAACTCAAGCGAATCGCAGGGATGTTAGGAAATATTTCTTCTGTCAAAGTTTCCAGTAAGTGGAACAACCCGAGAGTGATGTAGTGGAGACAGGATCCATACATAGCATTAAGAAGAGGTACGATAAAGCCCTTGGAGTAGAAAGAGAGAGTGGGCCTAGTAATGGCCAGTGAAGGGGGCGGAGCCAGGAGCTACGACTCAACCTCTTCAACTACAAATAGGTGAGCATGCGAGCTCTCACCCACGCACGCACGCACGCTCACACAGGGAGGAAAAGAATTAAGACAGACATTACATCACTGATATGCAATATCAACAAGACGTGGCAACAGACTCACATGCAACACCTGGGTATCTATCTGAATGCATTTCACCAACCAGTAGCTTTTTTAATGCAATACAGAGATGAATACTAAGAAGAGGAAGTAATCAGTTGTTCAGCGTTGCAGAACCACACAGGAATTGTATCTAATTCCTGATACAGATGAGCAGTAGAAAATTCTTGATTAAAACAGTAACAACTCTACGAAAAGAATATTTACTTATTTTAAGAATTTTACCTTTGTTATTTTCAATAGAAAAGAATAACAGCTATTATTGCTGTGAAGTAGTCACTAAAGCAGGGATTGAACATTATATATATATATAATATATATATATGGCAAAACAACCACTGTGAAAGAACAGAGAAGTTCCAAGCGCTTTCGTGACTACTTACATTATCAAGGAACAATGAAAGTAAAGCATCAAAGAAAGGTATATAAAGGGGTAGCCCACACCTCACTATCAGATGCCACAACAACGAAACACCTGACGCGAGACAGCAGGCCGCCGGCCGAACTAGACAGGTCCTTAATACAACCCACCAACAAACTATTCTACCTTAGAAATAAGAAATTTAAAAAAATATTATTTGTCCAATGTATTATTAAATTCTTCCCAAATTCTACTAAGGAACTGGCAATGGTAAATCATAATTAACGAGTTAATTGTGATTTACCATTGCCAGTTCCTACTATCATTAAACTTATTAAACTTTGCATTGTTGATGCAAAATTTGTATTTAATAAGTTTTACACTCAGAAGTTTGGTATGGCAATGGGAAATCCTCTTTCACCTGTTCTTAGTAACGTATACATGGAATTTTTTGAGACAAGGTTGCTTAACACAATCCTCCCTAATAGAGCTAAATGGTTAAGATGTGTTGATATTTTGTGTCTTATGCCCAAAAATGTAGATATACACCATTTCCTTGGCAAATTAAATAGCTTAGCCCATTCTATAAATTTTACTGTTGAATTTGAAGAAAATAACTCATTGCCTTTTCTA